GTGGACAGCTGAGGAAGCCAAATTTATGAGACCATCAACCACAAACCCATCATTACAACCCCTGCCTGGGGCTAGGTTGTTTGGTTAACTACTACAACCCATCTGATAATCCATATACTTTTAATTCTGACTTCAAGTGGGGGTGGGGGGAGATTCCATTATCTCCAACCTTACATAGGTCTACTGCCTAAAACCCTTTCTGCAAGGTAGCATGGTGACACCAGCAAACACAAAAGCAAAAATCGATACAAAAGAGCCCAAGTAGCTCCAGGGTGAACAATCATATGGAATATCCTGGATTTCCTGCCTCCACTATTTTTTCAGTGTGGTGATGTGAACTCCGTCCCTTTGATTTGTACCTCAGATCCATTCACCAGGTGTTTTGGATAAGTGTTCAAAAGCATAGCTTATCTTCATCTGAACATATTCAATCCTTTTTGGATTAGAAGCAGAGTTGGAAATCCTGAAAGATCAGAGGTGCTCTTGCAGTGCTTCTTGGTTCCAGCACCAATAGATCAGAAATGCTGCAAAAATAGCTCATGTCAGTTTGCTTATTCCATATGGTGACAGCTTAAGTGATAGAATATGTGATAATGTGAAGTAACCTAAGTCAAAATTCTAAAGAAAGTAGAACTTTGTCAACTTAAGTTTCAAGAGTCTGCCTCAGCAGTTCTATAAAGGGGAATTAGTTGATCTATCATAACCCCTAATGGCCTTGGTTTGACCTCCTGTTTATGCTATGAACCATGACTTCGAGCCTGCTTAAAGCAATCTAGAATTTCCCTTCCTGTACTCTGGTGTTTTTCTTCTCCCATTCAAAATGAGCTGGTTGTGCCAAGTACATTGCAGTGCATGAGGACATCAATTATGAGCAGCCATATTATATTGCGGACACAACATGGGATTGGAAGACAGATGATACTTGCTCCTAAACTTGGCTTGGACGCTAGCTTCTTGTGTGATTTTTTGAAAGACCCTTAATTTTACTGTGCCTTATACTCCTGAAAATACGTTCCTTAAAAAAAGATAATTGGCAGTTATGCAGTACTTCAAAGATGTTATTTGCTAAGGATTTATAATTTATTGCTGCATGTGCAGGCCACATAGGGAATAAATGGCTATATTATTGAAGTACTTTATTCTTATGTCAGAACAATGGTCATGAGAATAAGAAGATTCTGTTGTCTCTGAAAGAGCTCACAGTTACTCATGTGCCTATTTCCTGCCCTGTGGTGAAGATGGGCTGCTGTCTTTAATACTTTTATGGTTAACAAGCTGATTGCCAAGACAAATAGTCTCTTTTTCAGTCATGAATCAAAACCCTTAGTACCAAATTAAACTCACTGTTGTCATGGCAGCTGCTCTTTTTGCTCACACTTAGCTGTATACTCTGATTGGCATAAAAATAGGACTTTACATTTTAGCCAGCTCTGAGTGTACATCTGGACTCAATTCCAGGCTTGAGCTGTACCTTTCAAGGTTCCTTTAGCAAATATTCAAACTCCCAGACAAGGGAGTTTATAATCACTTGAAGGTGGCAGAGCATGGTCTCCCAGTGCGACTGAACTTTAACAAAAAGCAGTTTGATATGGAATAGCTGTTTGGAATTCTTAATATATAGGGAATTTACAGATCAATGAGCACAAAGAGTAGAGTGAAAAACTATATTGTGTAATTTCAGATAGTACTATATATAGAAAAATTTGCCAGAGATCCTGTAGATTTTGCATATTTGTGGGAATACTTGGTTTGAATATTGTAAGTATTTGAAATATTATTTAAAAGCTCTGTTGCTGGCCTGTGGCCTGCTAGCAAGATAGCCTGTAACCATGCCCTTACTAATGGAGCAACCTTAGGTCTCTTGCTCCCTAGCTCACTAAATATCAGATGCCTTCTGAACGTGTTCAGCTTGATCTCTGGGTTAGGGCTAAATGCAAGGTGATGAATGAATGCTCCCCATTCACTGCTGAGAGCTCCATCTACTCATAGGAGACACATTGCACCTCACAGAGTTTCAACCCTAGCAGAGCAAATTAACAACAGGTTTAGAAGAGATTGTAAATTGTGCCCTCCTAGCTGTAAAGAGAATGATGTAATGGCAGAGGGCATTAGGGGAGGGACTGAGGAAAACAACAAGCATTAGGGACAGCAGCCGTGGAGTGAACAGCTACATTCTCTGATTAAATTAAGTCCCAGGGTTGGGAAAAAGAAACAATTAACATTTTCATTTTAAACAGTCAATTCAGGTGTTCATTATTTATTCAAAATATTTGCAAGTGCTTATTTTTAGATGTAATATAAAAAAGTCCACCGCTTGCTGACTATTCCTCTACCAGCTATTAGTAAACAAAGCGGCACTAATTAGTCACTGATATCATTCTATTATTGCTCTAAAGTATTTGAATGTTCAACTTCAAATTAGATATCTTTTAAGCACACAATTGGGGTTAATTTTTTGATTGAGGATTGTACCTGAATCAGTGGAAGGATGAATTTTAGATTATCCCAGAAAATAATTATAACAACAACAGAGGGCTAGGTTGTCTTTAAAGGAGCCAAGCTGATTTATACTATCTGAAGATCTATTTCATAGCCTCAGTATTTTCCAGGGACGTTTACAAAAATGAAATACACTGGAATAAGCTGTCATTTGCAAATATTGCCCAAATGTATAGATGTCTCCATAGCAATTTCTTTCTCTCCTCAATTCTAGACTTTTTGCCTCTTTTCTCACATTCTGTATTTTCCATTTGGGAATCATCTACATAATGGTCTAATAATAACTTACCTTTACACCATAGTTCACTCACTAACTTGAAATGCTGAGTTAGATTAAAATTATACAAGGTATGGCCCCACCAAAATGTTGGGTCTTCATAATTTCCACACACTCAAGCAGAGAGAGCATAAAAAGCCATCACTGTGTGCCACACACACCATTTGAATCTCTTATTCTTAGTGTATGTACAACAGGCCTCAGGTGACATGTGACTAATTCATTGCCCATTTTGGGGTGCTGATTGAATTGTTAGCTTGCCCAGGCCAAGTACTGACAGGGAGTACTACCCTTTTGTAGATAGAAAGAAAGAAAGAAAGAAAGAAAGAAAGAAAGAAAGAAAGAAAGAAAGAAAGAAAGAAAGAAAGAAAGAAAGAAAGAAAGAAAGAAAGTGGTGCCTTACTAGATGAAAATGGAGACTACAGCGGGTCATACTGAAAGGTGAACTGTCAGGTTGGAGGAAGGTTACTAGCGGAGTTCCTCAGGGATCAGTTTTGGGGCCAATTTTATTTAATCTTTTTATTGCTGACCTTGGCACCACAAGTGGAAGTGTCCTGATAAAATTTGCGGATGACACAAAGTTGGGAGCTATTGCCAATTCAGAAAAGGATCGGGATATCATACAGGAAGATCTGGATGATCTTGTAAATTGGAGTGATAGCAATAGGATGAAATTTAATAGTGAGAAGTGTAAGGTTATGCATTTAGGGATTAATAACAAGAATTTTAGTTATAAGCTGGGGACACATCAATTGGAAGTAACGGAGGAGGAGAAGGACCTCGGAGTCCTGGTGGATTATAGAATGACTAAGTCACCAGTGTGACATGGCCGTGAAAAAGGCTAATATGGTCTTGGGATGTATTAGGCGAGGTATTTCCAGTAGGGATAAGGAGGTGTTAGTGCCATTATACAAGGCATTGGTGAGACCCATTTGGAATATTGTGTGCAGTTCTGGTCTCCCATGCTTAAGAAAGATGAATTCAAACTGGAATAGGTACAAAGAAGGGCCACTAGGATGATCCGAGGAATGGAAAACCTGTCTTATGAAAGGAGACTCAAGGAGCTTGGTTTGTTTACCTTAACCAAAAGAAGGCTGAGGGGGAACATGATTGCACTCTTTAAATATATTAGAGGGATAAATACCATGGAGGGAGAGGAATTATTTAAGCTTAATACCAATGTGGACACAAGAACAAATGGATATAAGCTGGCTAGTAGGAAGTTTAGACTTGAGATTAGACAAAGGTTTCTAACCATTAGAGGAGTGAGGTTCTGGAACGGCCTTCCAAGGGAAGTAGTGGGGGCAAAAGATCTATTTGGCTTCAAGATTAAACTAGATGGGTTTATGAAGGGGATGGTTTGATGAGATAACATGATCTTGGTAACTAATTGACCATTCATTATCAGTGGTAAATAGGTCAATGGAAGGATGATAGGAGTTACTAGAGAGAACTTTCTGGGTGTCTGGCTGGTGAGTCTTGCCCACATGCTCAGGGTTTAGCTGATCGCCATATTTGGGGTCAGGAAGGAATTTTCCTCCAGGGTAGATTGGCAGAGGCCCTGGAGGTTTTTCGCCTTCCTCTGTAGCATGGGGCACAGATCACAGCTGGAGGATTCTTTGCATCTTGGGGTCTTCAAACTATTTGAAGGCTTCGATATCTGATATATAGGTGAGAGGATTATTCTAGGAGGGGGTGGGTGAGATTATGTGGCCTGCATTGTGCAGGGGGTCAGACTAGATGATCATAATGGTCCCTTCTGACCTTAAAGTCTATGAGTCTATGAGATGAAAATGGAAGAATTAACAATAATAATGCAGAAAAGGCAGATGTGTTCAATAAATATTTCTATGGGGGGGGGGAATAGACAATGTTATATCATATGACAAAAATGTTAGGCCGCACTTTCAGAATGGGGAACTTTATTCTGTTTTCTTTCTCTCCTCCCTCCCTAGACGGTGAGAATGAGCATCTGTCAAAAAAGCTGGTTTTGTATTTGTATATTAACCCAATAAAGCTCAGCCTCAGTCCTATTTTCCATATGAAAATATCCTTGGAACACTGGAAACATTCCTGAAGACTAAAGGAAAGATAAGATTTTGCCAATAGTTTAAAAGGGTAAATAAGATGACCTGAAAAACAACAGGCCCCTAGGCACCAACGCTGTAGGTGTTCCAGGGCTGGACCACCAATGGAAAAAAAAGTCAGGTATTAAAAGGCTGTTTAATGTTGCAGAAAAAGGCAGAAAAAGACCAGTGGCTGGAAGGTGAAAACAGACAAATTAATAGTAGAAATAAGGCACAAATATTTCATAGTGAGGATGATTCACTATTGGATCAAATTACCAAAGCAGGTGACAGAGTGTCCATTTCTTGGTGTTTTCTAATGAAGACTAGATGCCTTTCTAGTGTATGCTTGGATCTAAATTTCGCTACTATGATATACAGGAGGGCTGTGATATGCAGAGGTCAGATTCAATCCTGTAATGGTCCCTTCTTCTGGCCTTAAAGTCTACAAATTAAAGAAAAACTGAGTGTGGCCAAAAAGCAGCTTCTGGGGCTTTACTGTGCAGCCAGCTTGCTCCCCAGACTCAGCTTTCATTAGGTGGAATTCAAGGGAAGGAACTCAGACATCCAGAGAGGCTGGCCAGGAACAGGACATCAACCTTAGAAGGGAGGTGAGGGTGTGGCAGTGACATCACAAAAGTTTGTTGCAGGACCTCCGCCTATTGGGAAACGTGGTGGGAAGGTGGTGACCTCACAGAGATACCCTGACATCAGCCAGGCAGAACAGAGGCACAAGGCAGGGGCAACCTCAGAGACTTCCATGCCTTTGCAGCAACAGGGCTCCTATGAGCAACTATGAGCAACAAGGGTTCAAGGTCTCTCTTTGGAGAGTGAGAGAGAATTAGGGTTAATCTACACGAGCATGAGAAGGAGCCTTGTCGGAGTTTTCTTCTTCCCTGCAACTGATTTTGTAGTCCCTGTTTAGAAGGTAAGAGCCTCAGAAATGTTTGAAACCTGCTCTATATGATCCACTTGGTACAGCTGAATTCTAGGCAAAGAAATCTCTTGGTTAATACTATTTGATTTCCTATCAAGGACTCTGTCCCATAGAATCACTGGGGACTTTGGGGGTTGCTTGTCCTTTTAGGGTTCCCTTTTCTTTTTTCCCTCCTTGTTTCTCTTCTTCTTTTGATTCTTTTGCTCCTTTTCCTTTCTGGAGTGTTGTGGGGGGAGGGGCTCACAAGAGGTGACCTGGGGTACCCTTCAGGACAACTGCTGATATCCTTCCACCGCCCACGTCTCCATCTCAATGCTGATAGGCCAAGCAAGTGGCTATTGATAGGGAAGACTCAAGTCCTTTTGTTCTTTTTAAAAACCAAACAAGTCACAAGCAATCATGTATTTCATTGGTCATGCTGCTTCTCTGCAATTATTATCTCTGTACAGTTTCTGACTATAATATCAGTTCTTCTCAAACACTTGTTGAACGATGACTATGAGCAACTGTTAGTCTGTAGCTCATTTAAGAGCACTTTATTTTTATCAGTCTGTGTCCCCCAAGGGGCTGACTAGGGGCAGGGGAGAAGTGAGGATGGCAGTGACATCACAAAAGCCTGATGCAGGGTTTCATCCTATTGGGGAAAGGTGAGGAGGTGGTGACCTCATCCAGAGACCCTGACATTAGCCAGGCTAAACGGAAGTGCAAGACAGGGGCATCTTCAGAGACCCTCCTTATGACTTGTGGGAAGCCATCCCAAAGAGGTGAGGCTGGCATAGTGTTCAGAGACTGATCTCCTCTAGTTATCTGATGATCTCCTCTGATGACCTAGGCCATCCTTTGGGATGTCTGGTGAGACCTCTCAGCCTAAGAGTCTGTGTGCTGATGGGCCGAGCAGGGGTTACTGTCAGAGAGAAGGTTTCCCAATTTCTCAACTGTGACCTATGGTTGTCCCTTCCTTTACAGGCTCTGCACAAGGTTTTGTCTGACCTCAGGCATACCATGCTGGGAAATATGTTGGCAGAATCCCCAGTCATGGACAGGCTCCAATACATCTTGGAGATGTATTGTCAGGAGGGGCAAGGATCAGTTTTACCTTAGCCCTGGGGAACTGGAAAGGAGAGACCTGGAAATCCATTTTCCAGTGTGGCATCCTAGCCTACACATCTGTAGGCCCTCCTGGGTCAGGGCAGTCAGTGCAGAGCTATGCGGGTTCCTTCCGCCTTCAGGGACAGGGGAAGGAGTTGGAGCTAGTGGATATAGCATACTTAGATTTCCAGAAAGCCCTTGACAAGGTCCCCTCACAAAAGGCTCTTAAGCAAAGTAAGCTGTCATGGGATAAGAGGGAAGGTCTAGGCTCACACACTACCCACCCATTTCATGGGGGGAAGCAGACCCCTTTTCTTTCCACTGGGGAAGAGGAGAGACATGATAAGCCCGAGCCCTGAGCAATTCACACAGATGAGAGGGGGGGGGCCTTTCCCACAACTTTCATGAAAGTAGTTATAGATTTTGAAGAAAGTTTTTTATAATTCAAATATCTATCTGGATGGAGACTGGAGGTCATGTACAGGAAAACCCAGATGTACGACATGCCTCTCAAACATCAGCATCCCTTGCATTAAGTGGCCATATACCTCTTTGTATGAAGAAACCTGTTACTTACTCAGGAACAAAAATACTGTGTCTACATGCCACTTGTATCTGCCAGAATGTATACAACCTCTGTAGTCTCCTGCCGCCTGCTGCCTCCTCCTTAATTTCTTGGAATAGCAAAAATGAAACTTCCTCTGAGAGATGCTATGTCATTGCAAAATTCTTTGTCCTGGGAGCACAGCCAATCTCTGATGGACCAAAGTCAGGAGCCAAATAAAAAAAATCATGAGATTAAAACAATGAGATTAAAGAGAAATAAACAAATAATCCATTTTGGGTCATTTTATGTGCCTTTGTTCTCTCAGCCTTGAGGACACACTCAAGTCATGTTTTCAGCCTTTTCTTTGCAAACCTGAAGACTTGAAACATTTTTCCATGAAAGTTAAGGATTCATCTACACTCCACAGGTGTGACAGCGTCGACCCTTAGTTTAGATGCAGCTGACATGTACAGAAGGAGTTTTCTGTTGGCATAAGACCACCACATACCCAAACAAAGCCCTCTTTGACTCATAGCTTGAGCAGTCATGCCTAACAGTCATAGCAGTAACAGTCAAAGACCAAGAGTCAGAGACATGGGTCAGAGATGGGGGTCAGGAGTCCAAGAGAAAGAGCCAGACAAATGGCAGGTCTCACTGACTCAATCTTTAAGGGAAAAAGGGATCATCATGATCATCTGGTCTAATTCTCTGCACATTGCAGGCCACAGAACCGTATCCATCCACTCCTGTAATAAACCCACAGTCTTCGACTGAGTTACTGAAGTCCTCAAAGATGTCAAGTTATAGAGAATACACCATTTACACTAGTAGAAAATAAGGATGTTAAGAGGGGGGGTGATTGGCTAATTGTGCAGTCTATAAAATTTGTATTGACCACACGATTAGTCGATAAGGGAAGGCACTCAGTCCCGGCTCAAGACAGGTCCAGGAGCTACCCTCGCTGCAGCTCTGCTATTTAAATGCTGTAGGAGCCAAACCTAGGAATAGCCTGCATGGATTTCACAAGAAAAAATCATGCCAAACTAACCTAATTGCCTTTACAGGATAGGGGGGAAGCAATAGGCATGATATATTTTGATTTTAGTAAGACTATTGACACGGTTCCACATGACATTTTTGCAGGCAAACTAGAGAAATGTGGTTTCAGTGAAATTGCTAGAAGGTGAGTTAAGACTGATTAAAAGATTGAGACTTTATACTTGAACAGTAGTTACCAATGGTTCACTCTCAAACAAAGAAGATCTAACTTATGGGGTCCCGCCACAGAGTTTCAGTCCTGGATCCATAAACAGTGTAAATAATGACTTACATAATGGGGTAGAGTATGTGCTTATAAAATTTACTGCTGACGCCCAACCAAGAGAGGTTGCAACCACTTTGGAGAACAGGACTAGAATTCAGAATGATCTTGACTATTTGGAAAACCGATTTGAAATAAACAAGATGAGACTAAGTAAAGAAAAATGCAAAGGTCTGCTCTTTAAAAGGAAAACTCAAATGCACTGTTACCAGATGGGGAATAGCAGGATAGCTGGCACCAGAGATGATCAGGATTTTGGGTTTGTAGCGGATTACAAATTGCACATGAATCAATGAGATACAGTCAGGCCAGTATTCTGTATTAACAGAGTGTTATATGTAAGCCACAGAGGCAATTGTTCCTCTCTATGCAGCACTGGTGAGGCGTCATCTGAAGTACTGTGTCCAGTTGTGGATACCACACTTTAGGAAAGATGTGGACAAACTGGAGAGAGTCCAGAAGAGAACAAAAATGATAAAGGGTTTAGAAAAGCTGACCTATGAAGAAGGGTTAAAAATAATGGGCACATTTTTGTCTTGAGAAAAGAAGACTAATAATTTTCAAATATGCTAAGAGCTATTATTAGTTGTTCTCCATGTCCAGGGAAAGAAGAACAAGAACAATTTTCTAGCTCTTAGGTGAGCTAATTTCTGGAATAGACTTCCAAGGGTGGCTATGGAATGCTCATCACTGGAGTTCTTTAAGAAAGATTGGACAGACTAACTACTGCTTGGTGTGGCCCTCACAACTTTATATTAGATCTAATTTAAGTCCCTGTCAGGGATGGTCCAGGTTTACTTGGTCCTGCATCAGCATAGGTCCTTTGATTGCTCAAGGTCGCTCCCAGCCTCACGTTTCTATGATTCTTTGACCTTGCCTTTTCTAACAAACTTATGTTTGGTCAGTGTTATATAGTATTTAAAAAATTCCCTAACAAAATACTCGACTGCATATTCTTATCCCCCTCAGGAAAAGATGAGAGAACAAGTAAGTGGCATTGTTAATGCACTACTAGAAGAAGCTCAGATTGTACAGTAATGTGTGTAGCTTAAGAACCCTGAATAGAATAAATTAGAACACACCACTATCTCCTCATCCCCCTCATACATTTCTACACCTCGCACTAGCTGTTCATCTTCTGAGGAAAACAGGTTGACAAGATGACACCAATCTAAGGCTGCTTGGTATGGCACTCACAACTTGATATCAGATCTAATTTCAGACCCTGAGTATGTTCTTCAGGGCCTATGCTGGACTGGGCCCCATATCTTATGTACTGCCTCACTTGACAGCTTTCCATGACCTACCATAACAGCTGGAGTCATCAGTGATCACTGCCAAGAGCCAGACTCATAGGAGTGGGTGGAGGGGAAATCAGACCTTCTTGGCAGCTGAACCACAGCTCTGAATCTCCCTTCCACAAACCATCAGTCTGAAAAGGGATCTCTATGGTTAAAGTGAGAAATACAACCCTTCTGTTTTCCAATCATTTTCCCTTAGTAACTGCACAAGAATAGCTCAGTTTTCCTTCACTGAAGGCAGAAGAAGAAAAGAGAAAAAGAAGGTAAAGTGAAAGGGCCCAAGTGCCCCTCTAGCAGAGTAAACAAGGAAGGGACAGAACACGGTTCCTCAAACTGCTGCTCTGCTAAAGTAACTTTTGTTAGCTCTCAGATACCATGGTGATGGCAGATCAGACAGACAGGGAACATTGGCATCTGTGAAAAGCAAAACAGAAGTGTTTGCTATGAAAACAGAAAGTTAAAGAGTTACAAAATACTGATAAGTTTTAGCCTGTCTTCTGTGTAGTACACATACCACCCAGCCAATACTGTACAATGGCAGAATTTTTTAAATATTTGCTTTTACTATTGCATTCCCATGGGTCAAATTCTCTTAATTACATCCAGAAGGGTGCAGTGGGGCTATGCACATACACAATACATAAAGGCAGTATATGGCCCCTTGTGTTAAAGGCAATGGGCTAAATTCATCCCTGATGTAATCATGAAGCTTACCATCAGAGCAGATTTCAAT